AAATCAATTTCCCACAAATCAATTTCCCACCTTAAAGGTGGGAAAATGATTTCAAGATTTTCATGGAAATTGTGAGCGTGTGGCCTCCTTGAGGAATTCAAATTGCCAAGAAAGTAAAAGTAATCAAACAAGCATAAAGCTAGAAAATGGAAAACCAATTCCATTTACCACCTTATTTCCACCCTATCAAACACACCCTTAATTCTTATTTTCGGATTAATTTTTTATTATTTCTTATTCAATTGGGATGTTGGATCACTATAAGAACGTGTTTGTGATTTATATAATGTTCGGAATGTTTAGTATAAATTAGCACATGATAATAAATAATATAAGATCATATAATAGATAGGATATTATTATGCTATATGAAATCATTATATGATGATCTTTGTGAATTAATGTATGCTTACATATTCACAGTTTAATAAGAGATAATTCAGTTCATATACAAGTATAGAATTGATATTTGATCATTAATGATTTTCAACATACGCAAGAATTGACAAACATGAAAATTGATAATTCAATTAATGGTCAGAACGGCGGATTCGTAGTCTTAGTGCTATACGTTATTGAATTTTACTCTAAAAATCTATTTTGTGCATTCTCAACCTAATTAGTTTAGTTCTTAATTGGAAAATCGATATTAAAAATCTCTAATTATGTGTACGCTTTTTTGGAGTTAACTGTAATTAAAGTGACATCAATAATCAGTTTTCGTTCGATAATACTCTCACAACGTTACATTATTTGTTTACAATCCATTCTCTTATAGAATATCGATAACATTATTCGTGAATGTTTTTTGCAGTTCTTGGATATGCGTAGTTAAAAATTGCAATTGAGGTCTCTAGTCTTTTAAAAATTATATAAATGGAACCCATACCTATTTTTGAAATTTACATTCTCAACCTTTCGCTTTGTTAAATATTGGGTGCTTGTCATGTTTAGAGATTTTATGACACCTTTAATTAATAAACTAGAGACTTTATTTTGTACATGTCAATTATGAAGTTTTATGTGCTTGTTGAATGCTAGAGATTTCATATTCAAACTGAAATAATAAAAAATTAACGTGAAAATAAGAATTAATTTATAGTTGGGTCCTTTTTCGTTGGTGTAAATTAAATTTAAATTTAAATTATTGACGAACATTGATATCTATCAAAATCGCTAACGATTAAGTTGACGATTTCTCATTGGCGACTTGAAGGCACCATAAATGATCCCAGCTACATAACCGATGATTACAATCATAATAATCAAAGAACGTGTGTCTCTATTTGTGTCTACATCGCCAAAACATATTGATTTCAACTAGTATTACTAATTGTTGGTGATCTGACGAAATTGCATGAGTTGCTTTATTAATTTTTGATTGTTGTTCTCGAGAAGGCCCCTTGACGATTTTACTTAAGGCCTTCACAAGTAAAAATTTCACATATTTTGTTTTACACGTTCAAATAGAAAGTGAAATGATCTTAAAACCGTTTTAACAATCTATGAATAAAAGAACTCCTACAACATAGGAGCATTAAGAACTTTGATTCACACCAATATGACTTATTGTCTAATTCTATGATTTTTCTATTGTGCAAACGTGCTCAAACCGAAAAATGACCCAACTTTAAATTAATTTTGGGAAAAAATTGTGAACATTTTTGGACAAACTTCCAATGGGATATTATTATGCCTGTTAAAGAAGATCATGAACCTTCATCTACTGCAGATTTCTCCCTAGATTTTGTTGCTACATTAACCGCTTGAATTATTTGAATTATGAATCTTTGTCATTGATTTAGTATATGTTTAGCATGTACCGCCGCGAGCTAAGTTAGCTCCAACTTTTTCTCTTGTTTTAGTTATTTTGTTACAATGTAATCCTATAAATTCAAATTAATATACGATGTTTTGGTAAGTTGTCAAAAACCATATATCTGAATAATTTTCTAACTGATATTGAAGTCCTAGATATTCCTTAGATAACTTAAGAATTAGGTTCGTTCAATCTTGACTTATTTACAATTTTATATATGTTTTCTATTGAGGCTACACAAACGAGTGACAAAATATTGATGTTCAACTTGAGTCCATTATATTTTGCACTTTTCCAAATCTAAAAAATTAAAACTTGGAAATTATCTCAAATAATGTTAGTTTTCTTTAATGAGATGATTATTAGTATATGTCACAATGGGTCACTGTCATATTGTTCAATGATATAAAATGATCCCAACAAATAAAGTGACAACCACCCCAATGTCATATAAACTGATGATTATTTTCATTAGAGATGAATAACATTACTCAATTATTTATATTCAGGACTCTTCTAAATATTGTAACATTTTGAAGTCGTTCCGTCGTTCTCATTCGGAGTCCAACAAGTTAAATTCCAAGAATTGACATAATCTATTCAGTTCAGTAAAATCCTAGTTTATAAAGCGTTTTGTGATTGTATACATCATGCGTAAAGGGTCTCGAGTACTCGATGTATACACCAAGTTCTATGGAGTGTTAAAGAGCGGAGTGTCATACTTTTTAAATAATTATGAATTTTTCTAAAAGGTCTAACTCTCAATAATGTGATCAAAGTTAATTTATTCCACTAAGACTTGTTTGGGAGATATTTTTTGGAGAAAAATTGATTTTGAATAGTGATATGCTGCGAAATATATGGTTGAAAAATAAGAAAAAATTATTGAAGTGATGGAAAATATTATTTTATTGAAAAATATGTGATTGAAAATGAGAATTGATTTACTGTAGAAAAATCTAAATCCCTCCCAAACGGGGCCTAAATGTGAACCGAAATACCAACTAACCCAAATATTCAACAAGTAATCGCGAAATAATCAATTACATCGTGATTAGTGAACTTCTACCAAATAGAAAACAAAAGAACTGATTATTTTCAAGATTAGACCAGGGAACTTTCCCAAAGTTTGAAATTTGAAAAAATGATGGGGGGCCAAGCTTATACTTTTCCCCAAAAATACAATATTTCTGGTCACTAGCCTCACCGTCCCTTTCTTGATTTAAACTAATTTGTATTTTAGTCAAATGACAGCGCTGGGTTAGGTGCTTAGCACACAATCTTTTGAATCTTTCTTTATACCTACTAAGAACCTCCTTAACATTTGCCTTCACACTTCATCCTATAATTATAACTAATTAATTAATTAATTGAAAATACTTTTCAAATCATCGAATGCAACACAGTGTAAAAGTTTAATATTCTCTTGATTTATTTTTTTCTTTTACAAAAAAAGTGATAGTGTGTTTGGTACACATTCTTTTGAAAGAATGTATTATTGAATAGTAGATTGATGGAGAATGTGTGGTTAAAAATGAAGGAAAAGTTATTGATGTGATGAAAAATATTATTTTATTGAAGAATGTGTGGTTGAAAATGAGTAGAAGAATGAGAATGAAAAAAATAATGTGTACCAAACAGTTGCCATCTTCAGGCGTGAAGAAGCAGCAGCAGAAAGACATAACAGAACTCTGTCCAAGAAAATGGATAACACAATCAAATTTGTTCCTTGATAATTTCAACCAAAACCTTAAATAGAATACAATCCAAACAAGATTAAAAAAAAGATTTGCTGTCTAGTAAGTATTTACAAAACTTTGTTGGACACGTATATAATTTCTATATTCATCCATTGATTTATACTCGTCCATTGAAATAGAATTCCTCTTGATAAAATCCAAGCAATCTGCAATAGCTTCAGAACAAAACGAATTTGAGTGTGTAAGTGTTCTGAACCTGTACTGATGATGATCACTGCTATAACCGTAAGAATAGGGCAATTCCATATGAATACTATCCTTTCCGTTTCTTCCTCTTCCTCTTCCTCTTCTTCTTGTAATTATATTTCTCTTCAACGAGCGCAAAGCATTCGAATATGAACATTTCCATCTCCCCAAAAGTCTGAACAAATACAGAAACTTTCTGCGTATCCTCCCGACTGAAAATCTTCTCGAGTTCATTCGAAAACCCTTCGCTCCATAGCATCTCTTGATCCCCACTCTGTCGTGATCCATTTTAAAAAAAGACTACTCTTTCCTAAAGAAGCCAAGACAGTACTGCCAGGTGGGTAGTTTATCTAGGGCAACGACAGCAGCAGATGAAAAGTTTGTTCATGAATTCTTCTGTAGACAGGAGGCAATGATTTTTAAGGTGGTGGTGCAAGAAAATACGTGGAAAACTATGGATATGAAGAGGTTTTGCCGGTCTTACGCGGCATATATATACTTATATAGTAGTGTTTTCAACGTGGATGAGTCCATAGTTACAGCTTGAAATATTTTATAGGAGGAGAATCAATAATCTAAAGCACAGTGTCAAGGGTTGGAATAATCAGCGCAATCGTGGGAGACAAAGAAAGAGAGAATGGAGAAACTATTTTATACAAAAACCGAAGTGACTGGAGTTGTTGTAAGATTAGATGGGCATAATTTTGAGGAGGAATCGGCTGTCGCGCAGTACGCAATGTAAATTAATTAAGAATTATTTGTGTGGCTAAGTATGAGGAAATTTATTCAATGGAATATTAATGTTGGGTTTTTAATTTCAAATTTGTAATATAGAATAAGATCTTAAATATTTATGCTATGGGCTGAGAATGATATGATTAGATTTAATTTAATTTTAGTCGAATTGAATTAAAATCGTAATTATTAGCGTTCAAAAATTGATGGATTATTAATTTAGCTTTCAATCGTTAAAAAGTTTGCTTGAAATTGGACATAGATTTTGCTCGTTAATGCGTATGATCTATAGTCCGATGAGTATATTCTTTAAATGTAAAACTAAGTTGTTTTGAAATTGAGAAATGTTGAGGGCTCGTTGTCAATATATGTCATCCCGATGCTTACTTGATTATGTAAAACAAATTAATCGTGTTTGACTGATTATAAAAAGTTGAGGTGGACGATTTATTTTTTGATACGTGGGTCATAATTTACTACGGAAGATTATAAGTTTTGTCGAGTTTTAGCATGCTTTTGAATATCAAAGATAAATGAGCATTATTAGTATAGACTAGAACATACAAATCATGTAACAAATAAATAATGATTTTGAAATTTAGAGCGCCTCAACAACGTCTATTGGAGACACGGGCAGAGGTAGGGGTGGGCTACAGCCCACCATTGTCCATGCCCACCTCCTTTAAAAAAACAAAAATTGGTTACATCCATTGTTTTTCCACCGTTCAAGTCCAGTAGTCCACTGTTGAAATTTTTTGCCTTCCCGTACCATTAAATCCTAGCTCCGCCCCTGGTTGGAGAAGAGATAGATTTAGTGATTTGAAGAATATTTGNTGATTAAAGCATTACACGGACAAAAAAACTGACTAAAGCATTCTGCAAAATAAATTCTGCGGCACCGAATGGATGATGTATTATGCAATGAATTGACTAAATACGCATGGAATTTGATTACAAATTGCGGCAAGATGATAAATACAAAATTGATTGAATAAGACAAAAAAAAAAAATCAAAATAAATGTAAATAAATAAACTCATACAATCATTCTAAAAAGATAATCGTAAAACCAAGAGAAAAAAAAACAAAAAAAAAAAATCAGCCCAAATTCAAGCATGATATCACAATAACGCCACTAAAACACATAAATGTCTTAATGCATTAGGGGGAAAAAAAATCAAACTACAAAACACAATAAAAAGGTACGAAAAAGTTCTCCTGCCCGCGGCGGGCAAGCTTATCCTGCCCACCTGCTGATGTGGCTGGAGAACCCTACGTGGGGTTCTCTCCAAATGTGAGAATCCCACGTTGGGTTCTCTCCGAGTGAACAGAATAAGATTGCTCGTCGCGAGCAGGAGAACGGGATTGTCATCTTCAAACTTGGAGTGTGAATGAAAATTATTAAACTACCTTTCGCCTACAGTGTTCATGTCTCCTTTATTTGGGACACTTCTTCTCTATGAGTTCGACCATACTTGAGAAAGACAACATAAATAATTTTTTGAAAATCCAAAATGATTGTTCTTTACGTCATTAGAGGACAGAAGCACCCATGGAGTTGCTTTCTCACTGCTTTTCAACCCGGTACAAAGAAAAACATGTTCTTTGCGTATGTTTAATTTGTCGTACTTGACGGACAATAGAATATAATAAATAAAATTATACTTTTTTAAATATTGCTCAGTTCAATTTATTAAGCTCCGTTAAGTCCTTATTTATTTTATTTTTTTTTTACAAATTCATTTTCAACCACACTTTTTTTAATAAAATAATTTTACACACAAACCAATAATTTTGTTCCTACTTTTAAACCAAATTTGATGGCCATTATTAAAAATTGAATAGTGATTTTTTGGAGAATGTGCAGTTAAAAATGTTAATGAGCCGAGCAGCAATCCGAAACTCCAAGTTCGGGCTCGGCTCGAGTAAAATTGATTTGAACTTTTTTTGTTTGGCTCGAGCCGAGCTTTTTCTTGGCCAAAAAATTTAGGCTCGACCTGAGCTTTCGACCGACTCGACTTTTTTTTTTTTTTTAATTCGTGAAAAATTTAATCTTTTTTAAAGAATATAAAATTTGTGCAATTTATACGAATTATAAATTAAATATTAGAGCAAATAAATTGAAAATTGAAATTGAAACTAGAATACTGTAAATTAAAACTGATTAAAGTAAATTGATATGAAATTCAAAATTTTACCTCATATTTATAGCCAAAAAAATATATATGCTTTAGCGAAATTTGAATTCAAATTTCATTAAAATTTGAATTTTGACATAATTTAACACCGTATAAAAAATACACATAGCTGCATTGTAGCAGCGTTGACAAGATAGACTGCATTTAACTTTTCATTTAATTTTTTTTTTATGGCTCGGCTAGTCACGAGCCGAAAATAGCCTGTGTAGCTCGTCGAGCCATACAGATTGGCTTGAGCTCGAGTTGACTCCCCAAAATGGTGCTCAGTCTGAACCACGAGCTGGTTGTCTCGAATTTTTTTTTGGGCCGAGCCACGGGCCTCCCGAGCCAAGTTGTCACCCCTATGCGCGATTAAAAAGTAGGAAAAAATTTAGATTTATGTGGAAAATAGTTTGCCACTGTTTGATGGTCATTATTTGAAAACTTTTTTCTACATTTATTTTCAACACACATTCACAAAATAAAATATTCTGTACGTAAATTTAAAATTTTTCTTTACTTTTTAATTACATATTCTTCTAAAAAATCACTATTTAAATATTATTTTTCCCAAATAATAACCATCAAATATGAACTTTATTGTGTGAATGTGTGATTTAAAATGACTATGACAAATAAAAAATTTAGTTTTAAGAAAGTCAACAAGGGCAAAATAAATTTGCATAATATTTATTCTAAAAAATCTCTACCAAATCAGGTTTAACGATCTGTTTGGTGCACATTATGAAATCCATAATGCATTTTTTTAATGATGTGATGGTGGATATATGATTGAAAAAGAAGGAAAATTTATTGATGTGATGAAAAATATGTGGTTGAAAATGAGTAGAAGAATAAGAATGAAAAAAATAATGCGGACCAAACAGAGGCTAAATATGTTATTAATATATCGAGTGATTAGCATCTTGTTGAATTCCTTTATTTTTAAAATATATTTTTCTCTTTCTTATTTTTAATCTTACATTCTTAAATAATATTACACTTTAAGTACAAATCTTTTTCTCATTTTTTAACATACATTTTTCATCAAATTACTGTTCCAAAATATATTTTTGTCAAAAACAATGGGGGACTCAAAGAGGCTCTAAGTGTGTATTTGTGTGCACACGTCTATATTTACACGTGTATATACATCCACCACAAATATTGTTCACAAATGTGGTAGGCGACTATAGCTCCTTTTCTTATGATGGAGACTTTTTTTGAGTAAAAAAGTTGTTAGCCCGAAAAAAAAAAGTTGTTAGCCCGAAATCATGGCACTTATTTACACTATTCGTGTTGGACCCATTAAATTATAATTTATTTTTTTCTATCTTTTTATGAATCACGTTTTTTAATAAAATAATATTACAAGTAAACACAAAAGTTTTAACTTCTTTTTAACCAAAAACTTTTTTAACCACACATTTTTAAAACAAAAAAATACTGTTTCTCTTATTATAATGTGGTATTAGGGGTGGACAAAATAACCAAATCAAATCAGACCAAACCAGAGCCAAACCAAATTGAGTCGTTCGGTTTTATTATTTTTATATAATATATATTTTTATGAATTAGTGAATCACAATTCACACACAAAAAAAATTCAAAATTCAATTGAAAATTAGGACAAAAAGGTCACAAACCGTCGATTTCTCATTTTCAATGTGAAGACGGGAGACCCCAAATCATTTTGGAGACCCATATCCTAGTTCATTTCTCATTTTCTCTCCATTTCAATTTATATATCGAATCTCACATGGAAACCAACAATTACCACGTCGTTTATGATAACGCTCAACCATGACCGTCACATAGATTTTTGAAATTAAAGCCTCAACCTATTGTTCTTCTTCCTCAAATATTTTTTCTCTTTTTTTTTTCCCAATCACTGATGAAACTAGAACCAAACCAGAACCGAATGGTTCGGTTCCATATCTTAAAAAACAAAATCATTTGAATCATTGGTTCCTACTTTGATTCGATTCTCGTGAAATCAAAACCAAATAAAAGTATGTCAACCTCTATGTTCTATAGTGGAGGCTAAAGGGTTCTAAGTAAACAATAGACTGCAACGTGCATTGTACACGTTTCTATACTTGGTTCTAATTCTATAAGCGTAAATAGTTGAATGTACAAGTGGAAAAGGTAGGAATTGGCATAGATTTCTGCGGCACATCATCAATTAATACTTTTGACCTTTTTAAAATAGTTTTTTTTTCTCGACCATCATGTTCTTCAAGAGTTCAAGTAGTTAAGAGATAGACTTTATGGTACAAAATCGTTTTAATAATAAATTAATATTAATATTGTGTTATAAATCCTAAACTTGGGCATTATTATTTTTTAACAGAAGTTTCTGCATAATTTTAAAGAA